CAAAAAACAATAAAAAGGAAAAACTTAGTTCTAAAGTGAGTTAGCCCACATTGGTTAAAAAGGTAGCTTTTAGCCATTGCATTTTCTCTCACCCAAATGAACTTTTAATACTCAATTTGATGTAAAGCTAGTGATACCAAATAATTCACAAAACTTGAGTAATGGTTTCTAAGTCACCACCTATAATGAAGTCATCTACATATAAAAATAGAAGGATTAATTGTCTGAGTAGAAGAAAATGTGAACAAAGCTAAGTCAGAAACATATACAACAAATATAGGTTGGAGAAGAGTAGTACTAACCTTCTTGTACCAAGTGTGAGGGGCCTACTTAATGCTGTATATGACATGACAAAGACAACAAACATATCATGTGGAATGAAAAACCTTGAGAGGATGTGTCATATATATTTTTTCAGAAATATCTCAATTAAGAGAAATATTTTTAACATCAAATTGATATAATGGCCAACCACAAGAAGCATCAGCATATATAAAAGCACGAATTGATGTCATTTTTTAACATGAGTAAATATCTCTTCATAGTTAAGACCACATTCTTATGAAAAATATTTTGGCTTTGTAGCATTCCAAAGATCTATGTCTTAGTTTTTTGTCAATTTGTATCCAAAGATGCCTCTTTGAAAGACTTGGGCTCAATATGAGAATGAAGAGTAGAAATAAAGGAAAGATAGTTAAGAAAATAGTTGGAGGTGAGAGAGGCATATTGAGTAGGCAATCAAGAATTTTGAGCTGGAAGAATAAGATGTTAAGGTAAAGGAAATGAAGGGAGATTGATGGACAAAGGGAGGGGAGCCAAGGTGGTAAAGATGGAGGGAACAATGTATCATTCTTATCATTTTAGTGGTTTATTCACTAGATCATGGAGTAAGATTATTGGATAAATCAGATTGAGGGGAAATATTTGAAGTGTCTAAGAAGGGGTCAATAGGTTGTGTTATTGAGGTATGAAGAGTTATTGTGAACAAGATAGTATGAAATGTTTTCTAGGAAGACAATGCAACGAGATAATAAGAGATGACAAAAAATAGAATCATAACATCAATAACTCTTTTAAGACAAGAAATACCGAATGAAAACAACATGTGCATGAGTGAGCTAATACATTCAAAAAGAAAAAATAAGACAATAACTTGAGCCAAAACTATGAAGAGAAGAATAGATACATCATATGTGATACATACATTTTGGGCATTTATGGATATAGAAGAGCAATGTATAATGTGTGAAGTCATCAATGAAAATAACATAATAACATGATCTACTCTTAGTATCTAGTATAGCAAGGCCCCATATTTCAAATGATCAAACCAAAAAGATCAAAACTAAATGTAGTTCTTTAGTCTAAAGGCAAAACTTCTAATTTTGTAAGTTTATATCCACATCAATTTGAGATATTATGTGGAGTAATTAATTCCAAGATTTGAAAATAAAAAATTATAATATAAATATAAAAACATCACCTAGATGGGAGTGTTATAAATATAAAGGAGAAGAAATTTAACAAAGTTGAAAGGAGGAAAGATATGGAGAGAAAGTTGTAATTACAAATGGTGTAAGGACATGAAGTTTTTCTATTTGATGCAGTCCTTATATCATATGATCTATCCCAATCTGCTCTCTAGTCCACATATTATATACAACACAAGACTTAGAGGAAAATGGTAATATAATAAGCAAGATAAATTTAATTGACTAATAAACAAGATTTAATGGATAGGTGAGGGACATGAAAAATATTATGAATCAAAAGGTTACATTAAACAATAAATTCAATATCATTTAGTAAGATGTGGAAGTGAAGTTAAATAAGTTTGCCAAATGATGGAAGGTGTCATAGATTTACAATACCATAATTAAAAGACTAGAAAGAAAATTTTGTTGTAGATTTACAAGTAGGCAAATCTATAATAAGCAGATTAGTAGAAGTGGCAGTGCTAGACTATGAAATATGTGTAAGTTGTTGAAATAGAAAAAAATAAATGTTGGTACTAGATATCCTTTTAGGGAAAAAAAGTTGTGGGTTGCTCTATAAGTAAAATAGATCTAGCTAAGGTAGCAAATCCCTTAACATGACAACCACCATGTCCTTATATAGACATCATTGTAATTCATCTTCATCTATGTACATATTCTTTTTTTTGTGTAGAAAGTGAAAAGACAAAAAACCCGATAATGATCACAATTTAGGGTTTATATCACAACCTTAAACTGTAACATAAGGGGTCATAACATTAGTCTAGCTATTAGGATAGTCATAACCTAAGGGGCCCATTACATTTGACACCCCCTCTTAAGTTGGAGCATAGATATCATATGAACTAAGCTTGGTACAAATAGTTGACACTCGAGAAGCATGAAATACTTTGGTGAAAAGGTTTGCAAGTTGATTTTTAGATAAGTTGAGCTTGAATCTTTTCTCGAATAAACTAACAATTAACTTCGATGTACTTTGTGTACTCATGGAAGATAGGGTCAGATGTAATGTGAATGGCAACTTTATTGTCACATCAAAGTTCCATAGGGTCGAGAGGAAGAAACTTGAGTTCCTCAAGAAAATGGCAAATCCAAGTGAATTCTCATCTGGTATGTGTCATAGCCCTATACTTGGATTTTACACTAGATTGTGAGAGTGCTGATTGTTTTTTTTTCTTTTAAGAAATAAGATTTCCATCAATTAAAATACAATAACTAGTCGTAAATCTCTTGTTTATATTACGTCCAACCCAATCACCATCAAAGAAACCTTAGATGTTAAGATGGAAATGATTATTATATAATAATCCTTGACCTTGATTTTTTGTTAGATATTGAAAAATCTATGTAACAACTCTAAGGTGTTCACTATGAGGTCAATCTATGAATTGACTTACAACATTTGTAACAAATGAGATGTTTGGCTGAGTGATAGTCAAGTAGAGGAGTTTGCCAGCTAGTTGTTGATATCATTATGGATCGTCTAATAATTCTCCTTCTACAAGAGAGAACTTTAAATCAGGATTCATAAGAGTAGTAGTTGGTTTCACTTCAATCATATATGTCTCTACAACTAAATCAAGAGTATATTTTCAATGATTGATAAGAATCTTTTCCTTAGAACCAGCAACCTCTATGCCAAAGAAAAAATTGAGACTATTGATATTTTTAGTGGTAAATTAATTCTATAAAAAAGTGTTGAGGTGAGATATACCAATATAATCATTCATAGTGATAATGATGTCTTTGACATAGACAACTAATAATATACTCAACTAAAAAGTGTTGATAAAAGATAAAGTGATCAATGTGTTGCTAAACTCATTGAACCATGCTCGAGGAGGTTGTTTCAAATCATAAGGGCTTGTGTGATTAGCAAATCATATTAGAGCCCCCATGTGCATGGAATCCTAGAGGTTGTGTCATATATATCTCTTCTTGTATATGCCATGAAGAAATGTATTATTTATATCAAGTTGATAAAGAGGTAAAGAGAAGTGAACTATTAAGGTAAAACACAATACAAATATAAGTAATCTTGACAACATGAGAAAATGTCTCTAAATAATCTTCACCATATACTTGAATGTCGTCCTTCGTCACCAAACAAGCTTTTAAATAATCAACTATACCATTAGGTCGAACTTTAATTGTAAAGATTTATTTTCAGCCAAAAATTGACTTTCCTAGAGGATATGAGACAAGTTCTCAAGTCTAGTTCTCAAGTACCTCCATCTCCTCAATCATAGCAGCATACCATCTGAGATGACTTAGTGCTTTTGAAATAATCTTAGGAATATGATAATAGGATAAGATAGATATAAAAGTTGAGTAGATAAGAGATAAGTGATGATATGATACAAAGTTAGATGTGATAGTATATACAAGAACGTTTTTTTTTCATAAGATAATATAGAAATCAAGATTACTGGTCACCGATGTGCTCGCTTCTAGTCCTTGATACATAGAAATGGTTGAATGTGAAGTAGATGCCTCAAGAGGTGCTAAGGGAGCATTCCACCACATGTATACTTGTGTGATTAGAGGACATGTATCTTTCACCCTATCATCTAATTGTTTGGGAATGACACTAGGATTATATGCAAAGATAGACTCTACAATGACGGTGGAGGTAATGATTCATTCAGAGAATTAATATATTGTGACATAGTGAAGAAAATGATAGTCTCAAAGAAGGTAACATCAATAGCAATAAAGTGTCTATGAAGTGAAGGCAATAACATTTGTATCCCTTTTGAGTATGAGTGTATCCTAAGAAAATATATTTCACAAACTTAGGACTAAATTTATCTTGACATCATTTTAAATGATGGAAAAAATATGTACATCCAAAAATCTTTGGTGGTACATTGTATGATGGACTAGTAGGATAAAGAATAGAATATGGAGTCTTTTGCTTTACAATTAATGATGACATTTGATTAATTAAGTAGGTGGTTGTAAGAATAGCACCAGTTCAAAATTCAAGTGGGACATTCATATGTAAAAGTAATGTGCACTCAGATTTTTGGCGATATCTAGATGCTCTACCTCCACTCCCCCGTCCCTAGAATAATCACTATTAGTATGCCCACAAGAGGGTTGTTGAGTAGACACTAAGGTTGTGTGCTCCACAAGGGGTGTGGTCTTTAGAGTGTTGTGACTTAAAAGAGAAGGAGAGACATTGATTGGCTTCAATAATGTTGGCAGTTCAGTCCTTGCTAGTACTTGATTACAAATGCTCTTATATTCGAGATGAAGCCCACTAAGGAACTTAACCACTGCCATTCGATCTCATTGCTTCTGCATTAGTTGGAGATTAGTAAATAAAAAAAGTAATGAGTTGAGATCTTGAGAAATGCATACAATCTCATCAAAATCTTGACTTAGATATGTATCATCTTGCTTCAATCCGTAATACTCTATAGTCATATCATATATATAAGAAATGTTGTTGGAATACATCAATGCAAGATGATTCCATGCTGCCTTGTATTTTTCCATATTACTCACCAACTAGGCAATGTGAGTCTCCACATAATTCACAATAGATTTAGGAGGACTACATCATGCTACTCCTATTGAGCACGGAGATTAGGGTTAGATGGCACACCACTATTGATTAATAATTGTTGAAGGAGATGGTAACGGTGGTTCTAGAGGTAGGAGATATAGTACTGAAGGAAAATAGTTGGTGAAGGATGTCCTTCACCAAATAAATGTTTAGTAGAGGCTACAAAGCTCAAAAAAAATTTGGACAGAAGAGGTGGAAAAACCTCATTAAAAAAGAACACAACGGAGGTGGAAAGCCTCACTAGAAAAGTACTTGAAACCTTAGCATGTAACTTGTATGTTGGCAAATAGAGGCGACAGCAATAGATATAAGATGTTGGATACCACCAGACTCTGATGGTGGTGGTGATGGCACTCCCCCAAAAAACATATGTCAAACATAGCTGACGAAACCCTAGTAGAACAAACATCCTCTAATACCATGTAGAAAGTGAAAAAGGCAAAAAGCCTAATAATGATCATAGTCTAGGGTTTATATCCTAACCTTATATCGTAACCTAAGGGGACGTAAAATTAGTTTAGCCACTAGGATGAGCCATAACATAAGGGGCCCATTAAATTTGACACCTTGTAATTGAGAATAATATTTCTTTCATTGCTTTTAGTATCACAACATTTGTACTCTAGGTGAGATGCGAGACATCAGTTTTCTAGGAACTAAAATATGATTATTATTTATAATAGTCACCATATGTGAAGTTCCAAATACATAAGTGAAGTGATTGCAAACATATTTCTTAAGCATGTAATTTACTAACTTTAGAAGAAACAATAAGCATGATGACCAACATAGCAAAGATCTATATACAACCTCAATTCATCTCAAAGTGTCATTAAGAATTGTATCAATCTATTTTTCTCATGATATTGTGTAAAATTAATAATAAATTAAAGAAATTGTGGTTCCATAAGAGTAAGTTGATCCCATATAATTGTACTAAGATGAAAAAACAATAACCAAAATATTGAATACCTTGACAAGCATCTCTTATTTCACTTTCAAGTTGATATTCTTTAGTAAACTTTGACTATATATAAGGAGATGTCAAATAATCTCAAGCAATTTTTGCAATGAAATTTTTTGTAAATTGTAAACTAATAAACTGCTTCATAGATTTATTAATCCATGTAATAATTTTATAGTAATTCATATGGAATTCCTTCATTTGACGTTCATATTCAATTATTATAATTTATTATGATTTATCTTCAGGTTGTAGTTTAACTAACATAACTGATGTGTCATTTATATATTTTAACATCTTTTTTTTGGAAAGAAAGTGAGACATCACACAACTCCAATATGAGTAACTGATTTCATTTAATTTAGTGCTAATAGTTTTCAATTTATCAAATGTCTTCATTTATATCTAAAAATAAAAAATGTGAAGATAAATACAGATAGATATCCACTAATCCCTTATTTGAGCAAGTGATCTCACAATCAAATATAATTGAGGATATATTTTGCAAACATAAACAAGAAAAATGAGCCTGAAATAAGTAAATCTTGAAACAAATGTTTAGAAGAATACAAAATTAGACCATCAATCTTGATGATTCAATTAAGTTTTTAATGATATCAAAAGAAGATGTAACATCACCAAGGCTGATGAGAATGATATCTATTGCTTTGATCTTCCACTTTTGATATGAATAGGATAATGTTTGTCTTGAGGCACCACCAGGATAAACTGGTGGGAAATTTGACGCAGTGGGATAGGTAGCTAAAATAAACTTAACCAGAAAGAGGGGAAAATGATCCAAAATAAGAACCTAGGGCAATGCCACCACACTCCTTTTCAGGCCAGGTGGAAAGAAACATTATTTCGTATTAGAAAGAGAACCATCATGATAGAGGAGGGGAAGAGAATCATCAAGGTAAAGAGGGAGGAGAAGAGAACTATCAAGACAGAAAGGAGATACCCTCATTCCCAAACATGTCCTAGTTTATTCAATATATAATCTAACAATGGGCAAACAAAACATACAAATCCTAGTGGCTCATCACTCTGACAATGGGGACATTTATGTCCTATTTGTACTTTAAAGTGTTGCAGCGGTGACTACAGATAAAAAAGGAAGTCGAACAGAGTATAGTTACGGTTTGAGAGAGAGGTCTGGGTAGGCGCTGGCGGTGTCAACGATCGAAGCTGCAGTAAATTGGAACAGAACTGTTGTCGACATTTTTTTTTTGCCTTCCTAGTTTCTCTTAACTTGTATGCCGACATGTTTTTTGAGTCAAACGATGCCTGGTTGATCTAAAGTGATCCACATATGAACGATGACTCATGCGTCAAACATTTTGAATCCCGTGTGCAAACGTCCAAAACCTATGGATCGTCATCCTCACTCTCTCTCTCTCTCTCTCTAAGCCTACTGCGGACGTGCGAATATTTAAATAACAAGGGAAGCACAGTAGCAACGTCATTCCTGTGCTCCAGCTTTAATTCTGTGTGCGAGACCTGGACATGATAAATGACGGGTTCAGATAACATGTGCCCGGTTCATCACCCGCCTAAATACCGCACAGAATGCATTGGTCCAAGCGTTTTAAAAGTCGATGTTTCTAGGTTCCAAGCGCGTCTTAGTTCTCTGTTTCACTTATTTTGTGGTAGGCTACCTAGACCTACCTAAATATCTACAGTCCACGGTGTAGTATAGGAACGCAACTAATTATAGCACCTCTGGCTGCTACCTCCAGAATCCGGCGTCAATTATCTTCCTCTGCGGGTCCAACCACGACAGGTACGTCAGTACCAAAGCGGAGAATGGAGGTATGGCGGGATCAGGCCGAATAGAAGATGTGACTTGGTGGTCTCTTCGACAAATGTTGAGCCGAGCTGCAAGGTTTGAAAGCATCAACCCGTTGTCAACGTTTGATCGTAGGCCACTCTGAGTCTAAGGTAGCCGGCCATCGACGTGGGCATCTCGGAGAAATCGTTGGCGGGGACGCGGCCGCTCGGAATAAGGATCCGGGTAAGGTGCGGGTGTACCCAACAGCGGCGAAGATGAAGATGTTGGCAGCAGAGTAGAAGGCGGACTTGGTAGCGCGGAGAGGGACAAGGTACGTTTACTGGCGTTTCAACTCGTGACGGCGACAGCAGGAAGAAGAAGGCCCGGAGTGGAAACTTAAATAGCCCGGATTTAGAGCTTGGTGTGGCTATGAATACTTCAGCGGCATTTGAGGGTATCAAAGCGGTGCGGGTGGAGGGAGAAACTGTGGACTTTGGTCCAGTTTACTACTTTAAACTTGCGAACCTACGCGGATAGTAGCCGTTAGGACCCATGAGAAATACAGTAGAGGTGAAAGAGAGAATCCTATGTCCAAGGGTTAGTTTGTCAGGGAGAAAATTAAAGTGCATGTTAGAAAATAATGTTGTGATGTAAATTTAATATAACAAAGATATTAATAAGAAATTTTTAAAAAAGAAAAATAATGAGCTGGTGAAGTTCGCAAGTTATGTTGGAGGTCCAAACTGTTACTAAGAATTAGAATAAACAATTACAGACGACGTTTTCAATTCAGTTCATGATTTTGGCTCTCACCCCCCAGCGCCTGCGGGAGGGGGGGGGGGTGTGGGAGAGAGAGAGAGAGAGAGAGAGAGAGCATATTTTTCTTTGATGTTACGGCAGCAGTAGTACACAATTTTACCTATTCAATCGTCCCGCTTCTCGTTTATTACTGCAATGTCTAAGGATCGAAGTCAAAGGTTTCGCATGGCCAACACCTCAGTAGCCAGATAATGAAAGAAGATCGATGCGGACAAATTCCTTCGTTGTTGCTCAGCAGAACAGTAAAGACTTCGTACTCTGGCAACAGAAAACATTCACTACGGAGAACAATACAACAAAGATGGCATCCAGAAATAAAGTCTGTGTCACAGACGGCATAAATCTCGCCACAAGAAGCAAGAACCGAGATTAGCCAGATACTTATTGTTTCCAATTTTATTCGATCGTAAGCTGGGGTTTACATTATTCGTCTCCTTCCCGCCCTCTCCACAAGAACAAGGATTATTACTGTTTCTTCGCTGTTACACCGTCTCACAGTACACGCAGCCGTAATTATCTGTCACGTATACGTCGAGGCTATCTCGTGGAGCAAAACGGGCGTATCCGTTCGCTGTTCAAGGGTGACCAAATCCACCGCCGTAGCCCGACCCCGACCCCGAGCCATAGCCGGAGCCAGAGCCTGACCCCGATCCACCGCCACCGCCTCCACCACCCCCGCCGCCTCCACCTTTGCCGTAGCCACCGCCGCTGGCACCTCCAGAACCGTACCCGGACCCGCTTCCTGACCCATATCCCGACCCACCTCCTCTCCCTCCGCCACCTCCACTGCCACCACCGCCCCCGCCGCCGCTGCCGTAACCTCCACCGTTTGCGCCGCCACCTCCGTATCCCGATCCGGAGCCGTACCCACTCCCGGATCCTTGCCCATATCCCCCGCCACCCCCTTGTCCCCCTCCACCGCCGCCGCCACCACCCTAACCGTATCCACCCCCGTATGCTCCCCCGCCACCCTCACCGTAGCCCGACCCGTAACCGGATCCTGAACCGTTACCGGTGCCGCCGCCACCCCCACCACCTTGACCCCCACCGCCTCCACCGGCATATGCCGTGAGAACTCTGGCGGCAGAGGACGTGCCCACGCAGAGCATCACCAGCAAGGCCACACTCGCTATCTTAGAGGTCCCCATAGCTCCTGATAAACTGACTGGAGAAGAGATGATTTGCCGGACGGAGGAACGAAGATGGTATTTATAGGGTCTCACGCGTTGGACTTTACGAGCTCCATCTTCACGCAGTTTAACAGGCTGGCTTGCATTCCTCACTTTTGTTCGTGGGAAACTAGGACCAACTGTGGGCTGCCGACTTTTGACTAACGGTGCACATCGGCCCACCGACGACCACGATGGAGAACCCGA